GACACTTAGTTTCAAATCTCTCTCGCTCAAACTTGATAATGTGGTTACACGATGGCGCATACATTTGCAGGAGCTAGACATCACGAGCATTGTTTAACAAAAAGTTCATTCACTCTTCACGATTCAACAAATGTTTTTTAATGACCATCATCATTCACTACCGCCTCCGCCACATTACTGTCGCATTGCACTCGTCAAGCACCATCTCTGACGGATCAGCTCAGAAGACGAGAGTCTATTAAGGTTGAAGTACCACCTGTTAGAAGAAATTGTTTCTTCTTGAACAAAACTGAACAAAAGTGCTCTGTTTCTAGAAAGATAAAACAGAGTAATGCTTAAACTTATTTTATAGAATATGAATACGACTTGTTTTTCTTACATTACGATCATAACGTGAAATAGAAAATCAACAGACACTGCTTTATGTTTGGAAAAATATGACTCTACTTTAAACAATTGTAACTATTGATGTGTAACTAACTTAATACAATTCAACATTGCTAATATTACTAACTATACAAATACTTATGAAATTAGAAACTCAATTATATTCAATACCACCGACTATTAGTTATTACCATAGTTCTAGGAAATATATTTCACTTTTCTTTAAGATTTAATTGTGAAATAATCAGTTAAGATTTCATTTAAATGTTTTTTGTTATAGTTAACCGGTAATATATACTAATTATCTAGATATCATAATTCTTAGTTAGTATTTTTAATAAATGATCGGTTAAATCTACAGTTATCCGACTATGAATGTTTTTTTTTTAAATTTAATTATCCGTCTAGGTAGAACTCATATAGTTGATATGTAAGTTAGCATAGTTATATTATAAATTTCAGATTATCTGTAAATTAACATGGTTATATTTCAAATTATTTGAATACTTTACATGTTTGTTGATATTTAGATTTAAAATTACCGGCTATTTGATCAAATGATGGTTATCTCTATGTTAGTACGTTAAGAACAATTGGTTATCTCTATGTTAGTTCGTTAAGAACAATTCATAACAAGTTACTTATGTTTTACAAATAATGTAACTTGAATTGTATTGTATGCAATCAGTAAACAGATGGACCACTCTTCTGTCATCTTCTACGCCTAGTCTCCGTCGTCGTCTCTGGGAGTCTATGTTCATCTCTTCTTCTTTGTCATCCTCTCTCATCTTTTTATTACTTCTCCACTTGTTCTTCTTTCCTCTCTATAGCATCATGGATCTTTATGCTCTCCATGGACTGAAATGAAGGCGAGCTGTAGCAAAGGTGAGGTGACGGCGAACTGTACAAAAAATGATATGACGGCGCGATGGTGAGCTTGAGTAGAGGTGAGGTAACTGTGTGACGGTGAGCTTGAGCAAAGGTAATGATGTGATGGCGTGACGATGTGACAGTCAGATGGTGTGGTGGTGTGATGACGAATGACGATAGCAAAGAAAAGAAAGTGTTAAATCTGAAAAGAGGAGAGATAAAGAGTGTATTGATTATGACGGAGAAGACAAAGTAATTTTGTAGTAATAAATGATGAAATTATCGAAGAAATTTGAAGAGTGTATCGATTATGGTGAGTAAGAAAGTAACTCTCTCCATAAAAATATAAGCACGTGTGATGTAGGTATACAGAGGTTTTGGATAGTGTATAGGTTGTGTTTTGCTCAACATAGGGGGTAAAACAGCCCTAAAGAGAAAACACATCAGCAAGAAAGTGACTTTTCCATATCTGCAAATTATGGATTTATTCTTGTAATGCAATTTCTCTTGAAATAATTGACTAAAGTACCCCAAATTGATACCCATATTTGCAACTTACCCATGCTTTGACTTAATTTTTTTTATGACGGTTTTACTCTTTCAGCACATACATGTGACTATATGGATGTGTCAGTCCTTCTTCTTCATTTTCATTAAAAGCACTCTCTCTCTCTCTCTCTCATTTTTTCTTCTATTATTTTGCTCTCTTCTCTTTTCCTTTTCTTTTTTCTCCATGTTACTAAGTGGTTTTAGAAAGAAAATCTATTTTTTATTTATTTTAAATTTACTCTGATTTTTAAAGAATAAAATTTATATTCAGATTTACTCAATGTGATAGAGAAATTAAAAGTTCTAAAATATTTATTTGTTGACAGCTAATACCTAACACCTTTGTTAACATCTACAATATTTATTAATAGCTAACACCTATATTAACACCTTTGGTACATCTATTTGTTAACATCTAACATCTTTGTTAACATTTATAATATTTATTAACAGCTAACACTTCAGGTACATATATTCGTTAACATCTAACACTTCTATTAACAAATAGTGTTGATGTTAACAATCAACAATAGTGATTATTCTGGCAATTTTGAAGAAACATCAATATTGTTTCTATCATTATGGGGTGCAATCAAACTAATCAATGTTTTGTTTAGTGTGTTAATTGGTTTTTAACGCAAGGAACAAATATTTGGAAGAAAAAATGTGGAAGAAAAGAAAGCATAATAAAAAATAGAGTGAATTGGGTAGAAATCCATAAGAAAATGGGAAATTAGGGATTTGCCATTTTTGGTGGGGAAAATAGTAAGATGTGGGGAGGAGAGATAAAGGAAGAAATAGGGTATGAAGTGAATTATGAGGTTTAGTGTGTGTATGGAGTGCAAATACTCTAAAAAATAGAGTATTTGCATCCCATATACAAACTAAACCCCTAAATTAACTATCTACCCTTTTTCTCTCTTATCTCTCCTCCCCCCTCTCACTATTTTCCCCCCAAAACCATGGCATTTTCCTAATATCCAAATTCTTTATGGATTATAGGCCAATTCACCCTAAAAAATAAAGGGAAAAGTTGAAGGAGAGAGAGTGTGGCTGCAGAAGGGAGACAGTATCAGCAGATTGTAAGAAGGGCATCAGTGTCCAATCAAAGTTCAAATTGTAGAAGATTTTGTCTGTGTCAATCGATGGGTAAGTTTCAAATATAGGCTCCCATTTAGGGTAAATGACTAATTCTCTCATTTCTCTTTAGTATTTTGGAGAGAAGATAGTGAGAAATAGGAAGAGAATATAAGAGTGAGAAGATGGTTGTGGTTAGGGGTGGGCGCAAATCGAGTACTTGCGTTTTTGCGTATCCTTGATATTTGGCTTGCTTTGAACGAGTAATAAATTTCCGGACTTGTACTCGCCTTGTCGAAAACGAGTACTTGTTATTTTGAGTACTTGTTATTTTGAGTACTTGTCCAAAAATATGGTACTCGCAAGTTATTTGTCTCGATCGATTCCTTACTACTTGTAAGTATTTATGAATTATTTGGATATTTATCCAAGTTTCTAATAATTATTTGTTAGATAATATTGTATAGGAAAAGATTATGAAAGTTTGTTTTGTTTATTCGACTTGGAAAAAACACAAAAATTACTTCAAATAAAATATGTGTACCTATTATAAAGAAGAAGGAACAAAATACATAAATATGCCGATACAAAATATTGTTTATTTCTTACAACAAAGAAATATATTTTTAAGGCTTTCATTTTTATGGTTTAGTTATTATTTCTTTCAGTCGCAAAATAAGTAACGAGTAATATCAACCCAAATCGTTAAATTCTTTGAGATACTTGTTATTTGACTTGTACTTGCAATTGGCAAAACTCAACAATTTGATACTTGACTTGACAACGGCGAGTACTTGAAAAAATGAGGTGAGTACAAGTCAAATAACGAATATAAGGCAAGTAACAAATATTTGTGTTCAGTCCCAGCTGTGTTTAATTAGGGTGTCAATTTTGTTTTTTGGGTTATTAGGTGCAATTTCTGTATATAACAAGGAGAAAACAAATCATCACATCTATACTATTATTTAAGAAGTAAGTTTGCTTAGTTGTCATGTTCTCCTTAAGTTTAGCTAATTTTGTTTATTTATTATATTTTTAATATTTATATATATATATTATTTATAAATAAAACGAATTTATATGAATATATCATATTTTTAGTATATAAGATAATTCTTGAGAATTATGTTGTTATCTTAAAATATATTTTTATATATAAAACTTAAATTTTAAATTAAGATATAAACACTATTATATTTATCTAAAACAAATTTATATTAATAATTTAATATTTAAATATAGTTAAAACGAATTTATATTAATAATTTAATATTTTTCTAAAATAAGATAATTATTATGGATTATGTTGTTATGTTGATAATATATTTTCTATTATAAAACTTAAAATTAAGATATAAAAATTATATTATTAATAATTAAATCTAAATCATAATTAAATATAAATCATCAAAAAAATTATTTGAAAAGTGAATTTGTTGATTTGTCTCCATGATCCTATGTTTGATCATTTTCAGAATTTCTATAATTTTTTTTATTATTGATTATATAATTAAAAATAATTTATATTAATAATATGACATTTTAGAAAATAAGTTAATTCTTATGTATTATGATGTTATCTTGACAAAATAATTTTCTATTATAAAATTTAAAATTAACATGTAAAAATCTATAATATTATTTAAGAAGTGAATATTATGTTTGCTGATTTGTCATATTTTCCATGATTTTAGGTAATTTAGATAATTTATTAATTTATATAATTTTATATATAATTTATTATATTATTAAACAAATTTATATTAATAGTATCAGATTCTTAGAAAATAAAATACTTTCTTATGTATTAAGTTGATGTCTTGAAAATATATTTTTCTATTAGAAATTTAAAATTAAGATATAAAAAGCTGTAGTTATTCTATAATTGAAATAAATTTACACTAATAATATTATACTTTTAGAGAATATGGTAATTCTTATGTATTATATTGTTATTTCGAAAATATATTTTTATATTATATAATTTAAAAGTAAAATAGAAAAATATCTATTATTAATTAAATATAAATCATTACTCAAGAAAAATTATTTAAGAAGTAAATATGCTGATTCATTAAGTTCTCAATGATTTTAGGTAATTTTAATTATATGTCATAATTTTTATAATCTTATATAATTATTATATAGTTAAAAAAATTATCATATTATATTTTTAGAAAATAAATAACTTATGCATTATATTGTCATCTTGAAAACATATTTTTCTAATATAAAATTTAAAATTAAGATATAAATATTATAATTAAATATAAATCGGGAAAAATATAGAAATATATTCTTTTAAATATTTCTGATGTTTGAGTTTTGTAATTGGTAATTATTTGATGTTTGATTTTTAATTTTTGAAAACAGAAATAATAACTTACTATGCTGATCTTTAAATTAATGAAACATCAACTAATAAATATTCATAAGAGAATTATGCCTGCAATTGCGGGTAAAACACCTAGTAATCATATTAATTACTATAAAATTTATATAATAAACGAGCACACACCAATACATGACAAAGGACAGCCTATATGTGTCCCCAATATATATAAGTTTATCTATCCTTCCAACCAATCAAGATGCATAGATTATAACTACATCTCCACACAGACCCAACTCAAAAGCTAAACTTATAAATATAAAAGCAATAATATTAGTTTTTAACTTATAAAAGTTTATATAATTACTTTAAATTTAATACATATTGATATCATTAGCCATGATGGGTTGATTAGCGTAAACCGAACCACCCCAATGATTAACGCCACCCATCATATCATCGTAATTTCCGTCGTTGCTAATCCCAAGCGTACGATCATCGAATCCACAGCCGTCGATCTGATCCACACCACCAGCGAAACCTGCACCGTTCGTCGACGTCACGAGATCAACGATTTCGTTCAACGACTCGAGTCTAGAGCTTAGCTCTGACATCTGAGCGGCCAAGACGGAGTTCTCGGCTTGGATCTTCATGTAAAGCTGAGATGTGACGGTGAGGCTCGTCAAGATCTGACGGTTGTCGCTTGAAAGCTTATTGATCTGAGCCGTTAGATCGTCGATGTGTTTTTGTTTACGCATCCTTGATCTACGTGCAGATTCACGGTTCGATAACATTCTCTTACGTTTTCGCTCGTCAACGGCGACGGCGACGGCGCCGTCGGAAGAGCTAGAGCTCCGGTATGTGCTGCTAGATGACGCCATTTTATCCCGCGTAAAAAGGGTTAACAAAGAAAATTATTACAAGAACAAGAAAGGACAGATTCAGTAAAAAAAAGGACAGATCTTTTGTGTTTTTTATAAAAATTGTCTGAAAATAATGAATATATTATGTAATTAATTTGAAGATTAGATTTGAGGGTTTTCAGCAATTCATGAAACGTTGTAGAACCAGTAGAGGAAGACAACGGAGAAAGATTGAACGAGATGGGTTCTACGGCGGAGAGCAGATTTAACCGTGAGCCCAGAGAGCAAGATTTCGCAGAGAACCGGAGTCATTAGTTTCCGACCATTAAAGTTTTAGCTTTATATTTTTTTCCTCGGTCTGAGTTTTGTTATTGATGATAAAAGAATAAAACAGAGGAGGAATATGGTATCGAGAGGAACCGACGGGATCTCAAAATATAAACGATAAAACAAAAACAGGGGAAGATTGTGGAGTTAAGGAAGAGAAGATGTGTGAAGGGGAAAGAGGTTTTTGACGAAGGGTTTGTTGTCGATTATATAGAAACCAAATCTCAAGCATCCAATTGATTTTCTTTCTTTAGTTATTTAATTTAATCTCTGAAGGAAATAATGGAGGGTGGATGAAGCGCTGGAGCACCTCAATGGTAACTTAATAGCATAATTAGAGCACCCGTAACAAGGGATACTTAAAGGGAATTCTTAGAAAAAAAGAAAAAGAGGCATTTCAAAACTATATAAGGATATTTAAGTTTTTTCTTTTAAAAAAAAATTGATCACTCACAGACCGCCACGTAGTTAGTGGAGTCCGCGAATATTGTAAGGATCAATCCTTACATAAGGATTTTAAGGATAAAATCCCTAGGGCATGATTATTGCAAGTTTCTTGTGATTGTTTCTTAATACACATATATGTGTATATATATATTATATATGCGTATATAATATATACATATACACATATATGTGTATTAAGAAACAATCACAAGAAACTTGCAATAATGTTGTCCTTAACTGTTCATTGGACGCATTGATTATAAAATTAATATTTTCCTAATGATTCTCCTAAGGATTCTTTGTTGCAGATGGTCTTAACCCATGCACGTTTTCATTGGTAGATTTTTGATTTTTTTGGCTGATTAAAAACAAAATAACTAAAAGAGAACTAATTGTAAACCGTCACATGTAGGTGAGACCTGTGAAAAATCCGAAAACTCTCCAAGAGACAATTCTTACGGAAGAAGAGATAGAGGCAATTCTTACAATTTAAGTGGAACCTACTAATTTTTTAACTAATTCATTTTCCCTAAGACCCATGGCTAATAACAAGGGTTGAAGATGGTCTAACAAAATAGTAGTATCTATACAATTATAAATACACAAAAATCAAATTAAATTATGTTTGTTTCATATATCTGTACTATTATTTACGAAATGATTTTTAATATCGTTTGTACTTTTAATAATAGAAATTACTCAAAAAAAAATAAAAACGAATTGAAAATTTATTTGATTAAAAAAGTACTAAAATTAATTATAATAAAAATTATTCAAAATATAAAAATAAATTTAAAATTAAAATAATTTCTATATATATTGTGTCATCATCTGAAAAATATCTGTTAATAAAAGAATTCAAAATTCAAAACAGAAAATACATTAACAATGAATACAATATAAAATTAAATATTAGATTATTGAAAAAGGATATTGAGTGATTTAAAGATTTTATTATTAATGAATATGATATAAAATTAAATTTCCAAAATGTATATTATGTAAGAACTTTCAAATGAATAGTCTTTTAGTTAATAATGCATGTGTTAATAAGTAATTATATAATATTTTGGCCCGTATGTGCATAAGAAAAACCTAGACAAAACGAATAAAAACGATCATACCTAGATGAATAATTTAGCCAAACATAAAAATGAATTTAAAATTGGGAAAATTGCCAAATATGACTCATAACTTGATTTGAAATGCAAAAATAAACCCAAACTTGAATCAAATGCAAAAGTAACTTTAAAGGCTATTGAAATTACAACCAACCCCTTGTGAACAAACAAAAAAATGGTATTTTTTTTTTACGTTTCTAGCCCTCGTAAGTCGTCTGCCCAGACGACTTAACTTAAAGTCGTCCAGACGACTTAACTTAAAGTCGTCCAGACGACTTAACTTAAAGTCGTCCAGACGACTTAACTTAAAGTCGTCCAGACGACTTAACTTAAAGTCGTCTGGGACAGTTTTTCTTAAAAATAATTTAAAATTTCTGTAATAAATATCTTGATAAATGAAAAATTGGGATTATGTAATTAACATATGTCTTAAGAGATATAAATTAAGATATAACAAAAGTTAGTTGTTTTCAGCATAGATGAGTGAAAGTAGTGAGTCATGATATTCTTTAGTTTAGGTTTCACCAATATATGTTGTAGTATTGTATGTGTTTCTTAGGGTTAGATTTTCNAAATATCAGTCGTCTGGTAAATAATTTTACACAGACGACTTACAAGTAAGTCGTACTAATATTCCCGCCTAAAATTTTTAAAAATTTTATTTTCCCGCTTGAATAATTTAAACCAGACAACTTACTTGTAAGTCTTCTGGACGACTTACTTGTAAGTCTTCTGGACGACTTAGTTATAACTCTTCTGGACGACTTATTTTTAAGTCTTCTGGACGACTTACTTGTAAGTCTTCTGGACGACTTACTTGTAAGTCTTCTGGACGACTTACTTGCAAGTCTTCTGGACGACTTACTTGTAAGTCTTCTGGACGACTTAATTCTAAGTCTTCTGGACGACTTACTTGTAAGTCTTCTCAAAAGTCTTCTATTTTAGTTTCCCGCTAAAAATATTTTAGTTTCCCGCTAAAATTATTAAAGTCTACTAGACAACTTACATTTCAGTCATCTGAAACAAAAATATTTAACCTAATTTTTTTTTTGTTTCCCTATATAAAGAAAAATTTACACATTCTCTCTCCTCCTTTCAAATGTCTGCAACAAAAAATGTAATGTTCATCTTTCTAGAACTCTCCAATCTCTCTATAATCTCTTTGAACTTATAAACACCAAACTTTTTATCAATTTATTGTTTTTGTCTCATGTATTTCTCATTAACTTAACTTGTTTTGTAGGTTTTTCATCACATGATTCTCATATTCCACTCATTTAAAGATGGATCTATT